AGAACCCCGTGTGTGGCTGAACTTCTCTCCAGGAGGACAAGGGGTGAAGGCTGGCTGTTGATGGAAGTTTCTCGTCCTGCCAGGTTCTGCTGCTTCAGATGCTATATTAATTATAAAACTGTTGACCGATGACAAGGGCTTCTTATTGGCTAGCTCTGTTTTAATTATTAACCCATTTCTATTAATCTACGTATTTCCATGTGGTCCTGGCTGGAGAATGCCTGGACCTGTTACTCGTTTGTGGTCTACATGGCGACTCTTTCACGGCGCTGCTCTGCCTACCTTTCCCAGAATTCTCTCCTTTTCCTCGTCCCACCTGTCTTCCTGCCTCCATGGGCCAAACAGTGTTTTATTCATCAATCAATAAGAGAACATATATACAGCTGTTTGCTTTTTTCTTGTTTGTTTTGTTGTTTTGGTTTTGTTTTCTCTTGCCAGTTAAACAATAATTTTCACTGCCCTCTGTGTGGAGTCTAAAGTGGTTAGGGCAGGGACTTATCTAATGAACAGAGCACAGCCCTGCCCTAATTTCTGGCCTCATCACAACAGCTCTTGCAAAGCCCCAAGTGAACAAAGTAGCCACTTGAGGAACGTTTTTAATGAATACATTGTTGTCCTCCTCCCCTTTCAGGGTGAAAACGCAGCAGAAAAGGTAAGTAGGTAGGCTCTGGTACAAAAGAGATATGGAGTGTTTGCCTCCTTTCCCCCACCCCCACACAGAGTACACAGGAAGAGTGTCAACCCTCTGGATGAAGTCCACCTGCTGCTCTAACAGCGTGCCTGCGAGAATGAGCACAGGGGCACCTACTCTGATGACACACAGTGTGTGATGGGCGGATGCACCAGGAGGAGGAGGAAGATTGCAGAGTCTGATGTGCCCTCACCTCCATGTGAGCAAAGGCTGGTCCGTGTGTGGCCTTAAGGTAAACGAGTTTCTGTTTCTGTGGGCTGAACTTGCACAGGCATGTGACAGGGCTACGCACTCTTGGGGGTAGACCTGCGGCCCATTTCACCAATCCTGACCATCTCACTCCCACACACAAAGACACATTACAGACTCACAGGTTAAGTGTGGCATGCGTCTACCACCCCAAGCATATCAGATTGGCATCACAGCCTGATTACATACTTCTGCAGTCACTCTGACCATGGTGCTGTGTCATCTTGGAGAAGAACTTCCCTGCCTGTGACTTGCCATCTGGTCTCAGGGATCAGCAGTCTGCAGATGCAGCCTACCCAGTAAGCCGGAGTCTGGACTGCTTGTGGGGCTGATTGCACAGGACAATGGGTACCACGGAGACAGGACTCAACAGGGGACTCTGCTGCCTGTCAACTTTTCAGGATCCATGTGACTCTCACCTACGTGTGAAGGAAGCGGATGTAACACGAGCTCTAATAGGTCTTAAATAATAATGGCCCAGAGTCAGATATTGAGGAAAATGCCTAAAGATCAGAGAGATGAAGGAGCAAAACCACACCTTTGTCTCTCTAGTCTTTCAGCTTTTACCCTTATATCTGACGCCAGGCTTTTTTTATTAAGACCCATAGAACTCTCGTGGCAAGGGTCTATGTGACCCAAAATGCTTACAGCGAGGGGGAATAAGATCCAAGACCTCACCGATGCTGGACAAGTTCTCTACAGCAGGGCTGTACATCCCAACCCTACCAGCAGCGTTCTTACTTGCTTGGCTTCTACCTTTTGTGTTTTATAATCAGTCGCTGCAGCCTGCATTCATGTCTATCAACCTTTTCTTTCTTCCGTGTGTCTTTCTTGCTTTCCTATTGTTTAAAGGGCACTGTTTTGTGTTTCTGCTCTGATTGTCCTAAACCAAAGTTTGCCCCACTCCTTCATGGAGGTATTTTTAGTGCGTATATGGAATTACAGGGGGCAGGTATTTCCTTTCTGTACTTTGAAGATGTCACTCCATTGTCTCCCGGATCACATGGTTTCTACTGAAAAATAAGGCTGCCGTGGACACACATGGGGCTAAATCAGAGCATACCATGGAGTCAGCAACCAGGTGGAGACATACACGGCCACCCACACCCCCAGGAGCTCTTCCTCGACACTATCAGCGCCGGCTGGCTCTTAGCTCTTTTCTGGGCTGTATTTGAAGGGCACCACAGGGAAACCTGTGTTGGTTCTGAGAGGACTGCCCGGGAACTGGATCTTGTGGCTATGGAGGCTACAGTCTCAGTGCTGTGTGTTGCTTCTTGCTAGGAGGCTCTACACACTCATTTATTAATCCCATCTGGGATGGGCATTTGGTCACAGCCACCGGTGCTAAGAGTGTTCTAGTACATCAAACAAGGCAGGGAGCCACACAGGCCCACGAGGATGTTCGACCTCAGTTAGCAGCGGACGGTGGTTGCGGTTTCCGGGTGCACGCGTGAGTGATTGGACTGTTTCAAGCCACACTGACTAGGAAAGTTTGTCTTTTACTCCCCATCGCCCTGGGAGATGGCCATATTAGCTCTGCTTTACCAGATGAAGGGAGAACCTCCAGGGCCTCGCCTGTGGCCACACATCTGGCAGGAGACAGGTTCTAGTCCTGGTCTGACTGTACCCAGAGGCTCCTTCCCATTTCCTTCTGGTGCCCATTCTGCCTTCTGTTGTCTCTGCGCCTGGCTTTAGGTGCTACCTCAGGGTCTTTTTGTTCCATGGGTGGGTGTGCGCAGAAGAGTGTCTAAGACAGGTGTGTAGGGGAGAGATGCCAGGGGTAGAGAGCTGCTGTGTCAGGGAGGAAGAACGTCAGGGAGTGGGGCGGTTGGAGGGTGTGACAGAGAAAGGGTGGGCAGGAAAAGACTGAGTAAGAGTCTGGGTGTGGGAACCCATGGGACTTGGCTAAAGTTGTCTCTGTTGATTTATCTCCTGTGATGGTGGGTTCCCTATTTACACCACACACCCACCTTTATCTTTAAAAATAAGGAAGCGCCCCCCCTCCGTCTGCAGGATTGCCATTATGTGGGGGTTGAGACGGTGTCTGCTCTGTATTTTAATAACATGGCCAGCTCCTCTGAGCTCAGACAATATTTCTTCTAATTAATGTTGTGCTGGATATTAAATTTCTGACCCAAGCCTTCACCCTGCTGAGCAACCCAGAGGCACATTTGGAAAACTTTGTTCCTCACAGTGGAAGGAGGAGGGCTTTCTGTCCCCTGTCCTGACTTCCCACCTCTCAAATCAGGCTCTTTGGTCCCCTGGGCAGCAGAGCTCATAGATTTAGGTCTAAAGAACTGGGAAGAAGTCCCCCTGCGGAGTGGACCTTACCCAGTTGGCCTCCAGGGCCTTTGCATTCCTCTGTGGTATTTGGTGGATGTAAACAAAGCTAAAGAGACTAGCTTAGCCCAGAGGCTGACTGGGTAGTTCTCAATCTGGAGCCACAGGATCCTTCCACAAACACGGCCAGTCAACCAAAGAAAAATAAATGTTTCAGCATCTGTCTTATTTACACAGTGTTTCGTCAGCACCTCTGGGTACTTTTCCCATTTCTTCCTGCCGTACTACTCAGCCCAATACCCACACACGCTGCAGGGACATACGTCCATACTCACGTGGGAGGGGTGGGGGAGGACCATTTTGAGGGGGAAGCAAGCCAGCGGAGTCAGGCGAGCGGGTGGCACACCTACTATGACTATGCGTGGCGAAGTTCTTCAATGCCTTCACTGTCCCAGTGAGGACAGAACCAACCTGCTCTTCGAGTCACGGCCATCCTGGTAAGCTGGCTGATCCCGGGAGGCTTTCAAGTTATGGTCCACGGAAGAAGGGGAGAGAGTACATTCCTCAGTCGTGAAGTCTGGGGTCAAGTGCAGGCGGTGACCTTGAGACAGTTCATTTACTGTCCTCTGCACCATCACTTGATGACGTCCTAAAGAGCCACAAGCTCCCCTCCCATCCACTGGTAAATTATTCAAACCATGGTCCCCCAAGGATTTGAAATTCTCCAGGATCTCATGCTGGGAGAAAGAAAAGAGAGTCAGAGGAGGAACTTGTCACCTCAAGAGAGATTTCACGCAGTTTTGACAACTTGTCATACTATCTTGTGAGGGTGAGGGGCATCTGGAGTGGAAACAATGACAGGTAGTGGCTGGGGTAGCATCGCACCTTGGCCAGGACTGCTTAGTCACTCATGCCAACCTTCTGCCCTCTGTTTAACCCTAACCCTCAAGTCAGTCAAGGCCCTGAAGATGGACTCACAGGGGCTGTCGCCCGAGCTCTTTGCTCCTCTGCCCAAAGTAGACGCGCTGAATGAATTTCATTTTTCTGCCTTTTCACCATGAATTGTCTTTTTATTCGGCTTGCTGAGGATGGGTATGTGTGCCTGGCTTGACAGGACTTCCAGGTTCTGACCCCAACAACTGTGGTAACAGTAGGGACTGCCGACAGTACCCACTCCATAGGTCACCCTGGGAATTAGACAGCTCTTAGCTCCAGAGTTAGATGTAGAAATCAGGTAGCCTTCTACCTTAGATTTTGGGTTTTGGTTGGTGTTTTGAGACAAGGACCAGGTCCAATCCCCCAAAGGGCCAATATCCCGCACGATACAACTCCATCCTGTTATGTGGGATCAGGATGCGTGGGAAGGAAGCCCTTTCCAAAATGCTCTAGTAGCAGAATAGTAAGGTCAGTGGTCACACTCACGAGTCTGCGGCCTGGGTAGTTAGGGTTTGTATTGTTGTGACAAACACCACGACCAAAAGGCAAATCTGGGAGGGAAGGGTTTATTTGGCTTACACCTCAGCATTGCTGTATGTCACTGAAGGAAGTCGGGACAGGAACTCAAGCAGGGCAGAATCCTAGAGGCAGGCATTGAGGCAAAGGCCCATGGAGGGGTGCTGATTACTGCCTTGCTTCCCATGGCTTGCTCAGCCTGCTTTCTTATAGAACCAAGGACCACGCCCCCACCCCAGCCCAGGGATGGCTCCACCCACCATGGGCTGGGCCCTCCTGCATTGATCACTAATTGAGAAAATGCCTTATAGCTGTTACTCATGGAGGCATTTCCTCAGCTGAGGCTCCTTCCTCTGATGACTTTAGCTTGTGTCAAGTTGACACACAAAACCAGCCAGTACAGTCTGCATCTTCTAGCTTCTGGGACTGTCTTGATACCCGACAGAGGCTGTCACCTCAGCTGTTGGTCCAGGATATAGCGCGGTGACCCCACCTCTAAAGTGCTGCCTGGGCAGCCTCCATCCTGGAGAGGTGCTGGGTTTCCTGACCTGAGTCCCGCTCCCACGAGCTGCTGAGTGAGTGCCTTCTCATGCGGACAGTGTTCTGATGATGTCCCCATCATCCACTGAGTGGATCCACGATGCCCTCTAACCTTTTCCTGTGAAGGTAAGACAAAGACTGGCTGTTTGGGGTACTCATGTAGTTCATGAGATACACACTTTATATGGTTTTAGAAAGTAATGGCAATTGAAGCATTTTTCTTTTTCTTCCCCACTAAATGTCCACTTTCACACATTGTCCTTCACTTGCAGTGTGATCAAAACATGTTCACCTGACAGGGCTTTTTAGTATTTACTTGTCGCACTGCTGGTAGGAAGGAACGGTTGATTCTGTGGGAACCCCTGAGACGGAGACTGTAGAGATGTTTGTGGACATCATTGTGGTCTGGTGGTCACGTACAACCACCTCTCCCGTGACTCCTCGCCGATGACTTCCCTTCCTCAGCAGCCTCCGGCGCCGAGGGCTTGGAAAAGCTGACACACCCCTTCCTCGTCCACCCAGGATAGCGATGGTCACTGGGCCTAAGCTTTCCCGGTGGGCACCCTCCATCCATTCCCCAGCAGCAGGGAAGGTCAAGCCGCCAGTCCTCCTGATGTCCTGAGACAGAAGCTCTTTTCTCTCCAGACTTGCAGCGAGCTGACAGGATGTGGTCTCCCGGGCTGTGGGAGGTCTTCTTGCAACTTCAGAGAAACGGTGCCCAAGGCTGAAACTTGCTGAGAGCAGAGCAAAGCACTGCCTGGGGACAGCAGAGCAAAGCACTGCCTGGGGACCTGTGCGTGACTCCTTCCCTCCTCTCCCTCTCCCATACCCTGCGTAAATGAACCTCTGCCTCTGAACTTCCATCTACGCAGGCCAGGTTGAATCAGCACAACTCCTGTTATCTCCCATGCACACCCCTCCAAAAAAGATTTACTAATGGCGCTTTGACAGGGAGGACAACACGAACAAATCATGTGCCCAACCCAGTTTGTCTCCCATCCCACTTTGAAAAATCAAGTCTTTGAGTCCAGAATAGCGAAACGGTTTAATAAAACAATCCGTGTCCGGATTCTGTGTGTTTGAAGTTCCAGATTTCTCCCGTCACCAGGAAAAGACATTCCCCATCCCGTAAGTGCTCCTCACCTCCTACCAGGCCAGGTGAGTCTGCACTCTGCCTCCACCGCACAGGGCATGCGTCTCCAAGATGCCTTTCATTATTGTGCTGTGACATCCAGGTGGCCAGTGGGACTCCTCCTTTGTCCAGGCATTCCTTGAGGGCTGGTCATTTCTAGGCGGGCTGTGTCTAAACGGTCATATCAGAAGGGGAAGGCCAGTGGTTTGTTGAGTAAACAGCTGAACCTATGACACAGCTCATTCCATCCCCCTGGGCAGTTTCATGGAGCAATTCATCTATTTTCTGACTGGTTCCATGTAAACGCCTAGATGCTGAGTGCCCCCCCCCCAGTCTCTCCCAGTGGGTGAAGACTCCTTGGGAGCAGGAAATAGTTGGAGTGGCCATTTGCTAACCTGCTACACAGCAGCCTGTGTGGTTTCACCAAGTAGCATTTCAGATGGATAACATTCAGCAAGCCGATCCCTGTAGTGAATTAAAAATCCCTTTTGATTAAATTGCCTGCTACTTCAAACGCATAGGATCTAAGTGTGAGTTGTTTTTATTAAAATGTTTCATTTTTCTGGACCTGATTCAGTTTTTCAAAGCGGCACGGGAGAAAAACTGGGGAAGGGGACATGGTTTGCTAACGTTGTCCCTGGTCAAGGTGGCATTAGTAACTCCTCTTTGGAAGGGTGTTCATGGGAGGGTCAGTGGGTAAAAATTAGTGACACAGCCTTGCCTCGTGACTCTAAATCACAGGCCTGCGAGCCAGCAAGGACAAAGGAGTTGCTGGTTGATTTTGAACCTTGGAGCCATGGGCAGCTGGTGGCTTGACAGATGCTTGTGCAAACTGAATATGGTCTCTCCATTTCCAGCCTTGGGTTTCCAACACCCAGCCTGACTTAGCAGGGACTGGAGAGTACATCAGCCTCCTGGGGAACTGGAAATGAATTCATGTGACCCGCATCTTCTCAGGGACTCCTGGTAGCCGCAAGCCATGGTCATCCCTGAGTCATGTTGGGTTATTTCTAAGTGTGTGTGTGTGTGTGTGTGTGTGTGTGTGTGTGTGTGTGTGTGTACAGCACCATCCCTTGTCCATGCAGGATAATTTTCATCCTCACAGGACAGGAATGCCTCTAACTAAATCACATTCATATTTCACCTACAATGTTCAAGGCACAGACAGCTGGGAGAGGGTCCCTGTTTGGAATTCTGGAGACTAGTTGCTGCTGATCTGTTTCTGACCTGTGCGTTCTGAGGAAAGCCATCTTCTTGCTGTCAAGGACTGAACTGGGGTATGACCTTTAAGAGCCCTCCTGGGGCTGATGTTATCACACACCCCCATCTTGCTCTCATAATTAGGGTTTATACATTAGCTACAGAAAGAGATAACTGATCCTGGTTAGATAGCCTTCCAGAGAGAAGTGTTCTCAGGGAACACTTAACAATTTGTTTTTCTATGGCCTGAGATGTCCTCAGGCACACAGAGCAGAGCCCAACTGGTACCCATTAGCTACTGCGCCGGTGTAGCTGATGAGCTCTCTAGAGTCTATCCGGTGATCTCTTTACTTAAATGCCTTTTTCCTGTGCGAGGAGTGTTTGGCCTCTTCTTTACTCAATAAACTCTTACCATCCTGCAAAAGCAGCTCCAGCATGCCTTTTTTAGAATGTCTTATCTGACCTGCTTGGGAACATCGAGTAGATTCAACTTACCAATTTCTTAAGTATGCCTGCTTTTCCTGACATATTTATTGGAGGGGAAAAAAATACCAACCCTTGTCATGGAGACTGAGAGAGGTTCACACACACAAATCCCCTTCTATAAAGGAAGGCATGAGCTGTAGTGAAGTGATGAGGGTTTAGCAGAGGGAAGTACAAACATCCTTGCGGGCAGAGTCCGGAATGAACCCTGTTGCAAGTGTCCTCCTCACTGGACCCCAGGCTGCTGGCCAGAGCCTAGAGGATTTTTCCCCCCAGCACTCAGAGGTGTCTGCTTGCTGAGACTATGTAAGCTCTGAGGCACTCAAGGTGAAGTCACTTGTGGTCCCCAGAAGCTGCCTCGGGAGTCAACAGCAATATTTTCTTCATGCAGGGCTCCTAGTCCGGCTATGCAAGATGGCGTGTTTTTAATGTTATTTAAATTCGGAAATAATTTCAGGTTGACCAGAGAGTCACAAAGACGGTCCAGTGTGTCCCTGGAGCCCTTGGCCTGCTTCCATGGTGTTGACTTCACATATGCCCATAGTCTTTCTGACGAAGTGCAGGAGACGTCATTGGGACAAAAGTAACTGAGTCACAGACAGGAATCCAGCTTCCTGCGCTTGTCAATGGCCTTTGTTTTGTTGTGCCCAAATTCTGAACCCCAAAATCACCAAGAGGCCCATCTCGATGCAAAAGCAAAGAGTCTTTTATTGTAGATGTGTAACAAGCTAACCCCATTAGCTCGGGCCCTTCACCCAGCCACCATGGCGAATGGCTGGAGAAAGACCCCAAACAACCTCAAGGCAGGGGTATTAAAGGGCAGTGTAAGGGGAGTGTCTAGGGGTATGAGACAGTCTCAGGATTGGTGCGCTTCCAGGTTTGGGTGACCTGCCCTGTGCTGATTGGTCAACTGGTTGTTATGGCCCATAGGCCCTCCCAGGGTGGTTGCTATGTTCTGCAAGTCACTGTTGTGCACTGTCTGTAAAGCACATCCAGAGCCCTTAAGCACAGCCCTGTTAGCTAACTTCTGATTGGTTCCTTGCCACGAGGAGGGCATCTGACCTTAGTGACCAAGACAGGAGCGGCAAGGTCTTGCAAGCACGTGTTAGCCTGTAATGACTGCTAAAATGGGGGACTGGTCACTACAGGTTCTGGTCTCGGAGCTCATCCAGGATCCCACACTACAATCAGCCACCGTGTCATACCAATCTCCAGCCAGTGTTGTGTCTCAACTGTGCTAGCTTAATTATCCCCAGTTTTCTTTCCTTATTTTTGCTTATCCAATATGTTTTTCACATCGTGTGTCTCGACCCCGTTCATTCCCCATCCCTTTGCATCCGCCCTTGCAACTGCCCCCAAAATAAAACAGAATTTAAGAGAAAAGAGTGAGTTCGAGGCCGGGCTGGACCAACAGCCTCCAAAACAATACAGAGAAACCCTGTTTGGTAAAAACCAAAAAAAAAAAAAAAAAAAAAAAAAAAAAGAGAGAAAAGAAAAATATGACGTGCAGTAAATAAACCCCTTTGTCCACATATCTTAACTTGCAAGTGTTCATTGCAAGGAGTCATTGGTCTGTTTCGAGGCCTCTGGTTTCTACTACACCATCCATAATTAGCCCCATTCTTAAGGAGAAATCACCCCATGGAGCCTGCCCCCCCCCACACCTTAGCAACATTTGTAATCTCAATCTAAATGAATATGCAGGAATAATGCATGTATATGTTACATGCTTCTATAATTTATTTCTGCTAACTAGAAACAGAGTTTTTGCAGCTCCTGGAAATGCATAAATTATTTGTTTCCTTAAATTATGGATGACATGTTTATAGCAAGCACATATAAATTGTAAGTGTACATTATAAATACCTAATCCTATTTGCCAACATTTATTACCCATGTGCTGGGGGCTGAACTTCATGCTAAACACTTGGCAATCATCTTTTCATTAAAGTTTCTCTGTTGTCCCACAGAGAAAACAAAATGTCTTAGGTTTTAACTTGTCTTTCATTAAACAGAAACTTGGAGAACATTTTGAGGAAGCTTCAATATGCAGGAGATGGAGGCTTCTGGGGAAGAATGAGGGCCACCATTTAGAGGTGTCCTAACTGGAGGATGCCCATCTGGACAGTGTGTTCTGAGTGTCCCAGGTGCTGCTGCAGGAACTTGTCCAGATGCCTAAGCTTGGAAGCAAAGGGGACTTCAAGGAGGGACAGCCTCTTTCGTTCACTGAGTTAAGCTATGCTGTTTATTTCCCCTGTGGAGGCATAGAAGCACTAGATTCCTTCACCACGAGCTTCCTTCAGGAACTGTAGCCCACGTGTGTGGACCAGACAGACTGAGAGTCAAACACCCCGACCACAGGGATCATCTCTGGTAGTGTCTGATGTCATCTCTGCCTTTCCCCCACCCTGGTGTTGTATCTTTAGACTAATAATGTCACCTCAGGCCCCTGCCTCCCGCGAGGCTGGCCCAGCTCAGTTTCTCACTTCCGCCACTGAGTCCCTGCTTGTGTAGTGAAGGTGCTTCATGCTGTCCCTAGGAAGTGTGAGCCTCCCTGTGCCCCAGGACCTTTGTCCCACTTCCCCTCCTTTCTGGTACCTTCGTTTTTTTTTTTTTCAGTCCCCATGACGCTTACCACCCTGTGTTTTCATCTCTTACTCACCAGACAGAGTGACTGAAACACATTTACAATGCAGCGTAGGGCGACAGGAGAGTCAAAGTTACAGATTAAGAAGTGATTGGGAGATAAGGATAAGGACTGGGCTCCTCAAGCTTCCCAGAGGCTTGGGAATGAGCTTTGTAAGGCACTGGGAAGAACCAGGGAGCATCACAGCTGTGGAAGCAGACCCGTCTCTTAGCTCTGTCCGAAGGAGAACCAGCAGGGCTGAATGGGTTGTGCTGAGCTCAGAAAGCATTAGTCAAGGGACTCAGTCACATCCCTGGGGTTGCATGGAAGCAGTGCTGGGGTAGAAATGGAAAAAATCACACTCCAGAGCCACCGGGTGCCCTGGCTCCGCCTCTGGGCCTAAGGCAGTCTCTGGGGAGGAGAACCAGTGATCTGTGGGTTCACACCCTTTAGCCCCTGATGAGACCCACAGCACCGGGTGTGGGGAGTGTGCCCAAGAGGATGCCTTTGCCCTCCAATAGGCGTCATTTCCCTGCGCTCCTCGAAGTGCAAGCCAAATGTCTGGCTTCCTCAGTTTCCGAACATTCCATAAGACAGAACCCCTACAATCCAGGCTACTGCATATGGT